AGATGTCGGGCAGACTTTGCGATTGCATCGTGCGACACAATTGCTCTGCCGAAAGTGCAAATCGATACCTATGTCGACTGCATCGATGTGGACGGGGCCAATCGCCCGTCGCTTGTGCACATTGCAAGAGCGATTTCATCGCGCGATGCAATCGCAGAGTCTGACCGACATCTTCCGACCGCTGTTGAATGAGAAGAGTCTGCAGCCGCTCCTGCGGGAACAGGTGGACAGTAACTTCTACGCGTGTGATTACTTACTTGACCACGCTCCACCCTTCCCCCAAAATCTCACTGCTGTGACTCAGATATCCAATGATCTATTGTACCCAACGGCGAAACCGAAGACACCGTAGTAAAAGAGGGAAAAATGTACCAGATAGTGGAAGGAAGACCGAGTAGGACAAACGCAACAAACAACAAAGAAGCTTCTTCATCGAGTCAGAACTAAATACAAACAACGAGAACAGTTACAACAACATTGCTTTTGCGAGAAATTCAACAAAACACAAGAAAAACAACAAAATACATATGATTAGTTGGACATATTGCGCTATTGATCAATTCATATTTGAAGATATGTTGTAATCATGATTCGTTTAACGGTTACACCGGTGCCATTACCGTATTTTCAGAGAACATGGAACTACTGTGCTGCCATCATGATCTATGGGGACATAAACACATCTCATCAGCGCTTGCACACGAATCATCGTCGCCTGTACTTTCTCGTGTGGTAAGATTAACACAACATTCATCGATCTACCATAGCATTTTTAAATAGAAACCATTTTGAAGTTACTTGGCTTTCAAATATAAATTGCCTTCTTCCATTACCTCTTGTGTTTTTCCTACATCTCAAGGAAAGGTTACATTGTACATTATACAATTCGTTGCATGACACTGCTATTGAAATCCAACCCAACCGTAGCGCTAGTGATTCAGAGTTAGCGCAGCGAACCGCACGCGTTGCACTCCCTCACAAAGGGAAGCAAGTTCACCGGTGCCCGAACATGAGCCGCATGTCGGTGAAACCGACTTCAACGTGACTGTGCACTCTGCAGCACAGCTGCTTAAAAGTGAAGAATTACCTTGAAATCTGTTTGAAACGAGTTCGAATTCTTCCATTTCGATTCCTATTTACTACTACATACACCTAAGTTCGAGTACGACAAATGCTCGCAGTACGTAACATATAAAAATAATAGCAGCAGCTCTGTCCATTGTTCTTTCCCACGTCGCCGCTTTAACGTCAACAGCACGCTCCCGCGTCCACGCCATCTTTGGATCTCCATAAGGTCCCCTCCCCGCTCACACACACACTTCGGAAGCACATCAAGGGTAACAAAAAATATGGTTCCTATCTAAAACACGGGCAAACATAACCGTATACAAAAGAGGTACAAGAATAAGGAAAAAGAGATAGAATGGAAAAATCACTAGATACGATTTCCCCATCCAGGCAGACCAGTTGTGTAAGCTGATCGCCAACTGCAATCGTAAGAAACACATTTTGAAAGATTCGTGAGATTTCCACTCATCAGCACTCCTTTCTATTGAGAACATTACAATTTGTGCAAAGAAAATTTTTCCCTATGAGCTCACGATGATTTGATGCACGCGATGAGTGAGAGTTCAAAGATCCCCGATAAAACATGAAGGGAGCCTAGGCATTTACACGAATATTGCACAGCTTTGTATTGTTGTACGAAAGGCGGTGGGCAAGACGTCCGTAATCTATGGAAGAACCAGAGTCCGAAGAGCTCGAGCCCGAGCAAATGCTGCAAAGAAAATCTTGAAATCGAAACAAGCAATAGCCGATTCCCATTATAAGCAGAACTTACAGGTGTGCAGCGTAAGTGTTACGGCCACGTTCCGCATAGCGATTTGCAACATATAAAGGCGTTGGAAGAGATGTCGGGAGGTTCACAATCTGATGATCATAAGTGAGCATGTATGTCATTCCTTCAAGTTCATCCATTGATAGGTCTAGATCATCTACTAGTACAGTGTATCTTGGAGTGCGCGCCGATCCCTGAAAATCGTAGTCATGTTTTGAGAAGAAGCAACACCAGGGGCGGTATTCAATCCTTCCCCCAGGGGGATATATCCCCCTCCTCTGATTCAATCCTCTGGGGGGACAAAAAAGGGTTGCGTCATAGGACCTAGCATACCTCTGTGTTTCTACCTGCCAGACAGTTAGAGCAGCGCGACCCCTCAGGGAAAAGAGTGCTTCATCAGTGGTAGCGCTGCTCTAACTGTCTGGCAGGTAGAAACACAGAGGTATGCTAGGTCCTATGACGCAACCCTTTTTTGTCCCCCCAGAGGATTGAATCAGAGAGGGGGATATATCCCCTGGGGGAAGGATTGAATACCGCCCCAGCATGCCTGAGACGAACCTGTAAAGTAATGTGGGAGTTGAGATAAAATTCCTTGAACGATGGGTGGGTAAGCTGCTTATCCACAACAACTCCAGGTGGAATATTCTGCTCGGTCGGTCTGCGTGAGCGGTCAATCTTGAACAGCAATGCATTCTCATCCTACTCTCAAGCAGAACAACGAAAAAAAAAGAAATGCAAACAAACTTACGCGCTCCATCATGAGCCGAACATTGTGCTCCTTTTGGGCTACAATAAATACAATCTTTATATTATGCGCTCCTAATTTAGAGAGTTTATCACGAAGAAGAGGGATCTCGTGAGTGAGCATCTAAAGGAATAGACTGATAAGCGAAAAACGTTAAAGCAGAAAAAGAAAACAAAAGACAAACCGTGCTGAATGATCCTTCGGAAAGACCACTCCTATAAACTATGAGATCTCTCGGGAACTTGCCATTATAAGTTTCAGCGAATTTCGGGACCACGTTAGTTACAATTTCAGACATGGTGTTCACCGTCTGCAAAGTAGTGATTTATGAGCAATTCAGAAGGAATTAGAGGAAAGATGATGAACTCACTTCTTCTCTCCTCGAACTTTGGAACAAGTAATCTCCAACAAAGTCGTAGCAATTTTTCTTGAAGTTGGCAGCATACTGAAAACTACATGAAATACGGAAGAAAATATTTTAATTACTCGAGGCCAAATTGTACGTACACCAACAACTGAGGGGGATGATTTGTCTGTGTCAAAACCTCCCGTTGGTGGAGGATGACTTACGCCTATTCCCAAAACAAGGCGTCCTGGCCGCATCCAATTTCTGAAACGTTCACATCGCATGTGAGGCAGTTCCAGACAAAGATCTAGCACAAATGAATGGTTGCATTACTCTTTACACATTATAACGCATCCATTTCGCATCGAGTTTTGATAAAAAGTAATGTTAATGTTAATTGTCACAAAAAGGCGACAGTAGAGACAAACGCATGTGCTATGACTAATCAAAAAGTCATGAGAACTCACTTGACTTCATTACTAGCTAAAACTCCATTCATCTCAATTTCGTAATTCAAACCTCCCAGTTTCAAATTAGCTTTTAGCAGGATGTTTTCCATTGTAACCACTCGTTTTTCTTTGACCACCTAGAAATTTTGTACGCTTAGAAACCAATGAAGGAAGCTAAATTTGAAAAAGCATAACCTTCTCCACATTAGAAAGTTTCACATCTTGTGTGACCATTTCCAGCTCCCTTTCCCAGAGTTTGATCATTTCTGGAAAAGTCACGTACTAACCACAGCTTATTTCATATAAAGGCTTTCAACGATTCTGAGGTGATTCGAAGGCCGTACAAGCGGATCAAATGATGAGAATTAGCAAGTGCAATGCATCAGAAATGCTTCCGCCTCATTCTCCGAAACAAAATTTCGGGCATGTAGAGAAAAATAGAGACGTACGTAGAAAACATGAAAAAAGGATAGTATACGGCCATGGAATTTTTTTTTTGAAAAAAGCAGCTCCGAAACTAAGAATGTGTTGCAACGGTAATTCAGTCGCACCAAGTACTGCCGTTACCGCAGGTTATCCTGCCCAAATTCATCGAATAACTCTTCTTTTTAGATCTGCTGAACGATATTGTGCTTAAGAGTAACTGACAAGTCTGACATGCGCATCAGTTGAACGCCGCATCAGCGTCAATATTACAAGATAAACATACTTCCAAACACGTTCTCGATTCTGAGTGTGATCGAGTTCTCAATGACTAGTTTATCACGTTAAGAATTAGGGTGGTAACTTGAGTATTCTTGCAGGACCCTAACGAAGCCAATGAGAATTAAATTTGTAGAATTCTGTTCTGAAAATTGCTGGTCACAGTGGCC